ACGGAGCTCAAGCCGACCGAGAACCGCAAGTTCAAGACACATGGTTCTGGCCGCATTCCCCCGCGCGCGCGCCACCTTGGCGGGCGCTGCGTTTGGAACGACAGCGCGAATGTTTAGGTCGGCCATCGCATCGGCGCGCCGAGGAAGTGCAGGCTTGACAGGGGCAGATTCCCGTTCGCGAAGAGCCCCCCACAAGCCGCGACGACAACTATGCATTCGCAAGGTTGTGGAGGCTGCTCTCTCTGGCATGTGCAGCTATTTCCTATCGGAGTCTGAGCTTCACCGCCTGGGCGCGCAGATCTGCAAGAAGTTGAGCCCTCGAAGGCGGGGCGCAGGTGGCGCGCGACAGGCGCGTCAAGGTCCGCGCCAACAGGGGGCGGATGAAACGCTGGGGAGTTATTCCTGCACGCGCGTCTCGGGCGATGCAGCGCGCGCTGGCTGCGAGACACGGCGCGAGATCTTCTTGCGCGTCAGCAGGTGGCTGCCGCTGCGCGGGGCCATCTGGGGGGCGCCCCGCCCCCCCGTCGACGCGGAAAGGAAGGCGGCGGTGTCCGCGAGCTTTTTCGCCAGGCAGTTCACGCGTGATCTCGCGCGGCTGGAAAGCACCAGCGGCGCCGAGGACTTCTTCGAGGAGTGGGCGATCGTCGGTCGTGCGCGGCAGGAGTTGTGGAGCTGCGAGGAGGTGCCCAAGGCTTTGTCGAAGGTGAATGCGAAGCCACTCGGGGCATCGCTGATGAAGGGGGGATCGGCCGCGGGAGAAGCTGGCGCCCAAGGCTCGAGTGACGGGGGGGGCCCAGGGCGAGTGCGCATGCGACTCGCGGGGCGTGCAGGGCGTTGTTCGCGGCCTGCGCTTCGACTCGCTGAAGAAGCTAGTGGCGCGCATGACGAAGGCTCGCGGTGGGGCCCATGGCGCCCCGCGCCCGCCTGAGCGCCGCGTGCCCACGAACTTGCGCGCGAACTGCGGGGGCGTGTTTGCGTCGAAAGACAGCGAGAGGCAACGCGTTCAAACTTCGCGGAGTCTCGGGCGCCGCCGGCCTCGGGGGGGCCATCGAGCATGGGCGTTGAACGCGCCGTCTGAGATTATATGTAAAATGCGCGGGCTCGAGTTTGCTAACCTTATAGAATACTACGCGCGCGCTCGTGAAGAACACTTGCCTCGCCCTGCCCCGCGCCTCGCGGAGCGCCATGCCCGCCGCCCCCAAGGCAACGGAAGGGGCCGTTGGAGAGGGCGACGCAGGCCGCCGCGTCAAGCAACGCACCGAGGACGACGGAGGCAGCAAGGACGAGCGGCTCAATACCCTCGGCGACATTGGGCTCGGTCGGTTCCCGTTCGGGATGGTCAAGCAGCTCCTGAGGTGCTCGCAGGGGGGGCGCGAGCTCGGCGGGCGCCTGTTCGACATTTTACTTCGCCCTGCCGACGGATTCGAAGCGACGGAGATCTCAGATCAGACGCGCAACTACTCGACGGCGGGGAAGAAGGGTGGGAAAGGACATCTTTACGGAACGCCATGCATCTGGGCGCTCGCGGGACTGATCGAGGCGCCGAAGGAGAGGAGCAGTGAGGAGGGAGGCACGAGCGCCAAGAGCATCCTAGATATATAGAAGTTGCTCGACTCACACAACGTGGAAGAGAAGATGGCGATGATCAGAGTGCGCCGTCTGGGCCAGGCGCACGACAAGGACAAGAAGGGGATCACCTTCGTGCTGCACGGGGGGCGGTGGCGCCAGGTGGTAATCCAGAGCTGCGTTCAGGTGGGGGACGAGCCGCAAGCAGGGCAAGGCTCCTGCATCGTTCATGGAGCGAGAGCTGCAGGAGTACGTGGGCCAGCTGCTGCAGTAACAGGGCACGTGCGTGAGCCTGCGGCGGGGCACGTGCGGAGGCGTGAACCTGCTGCAGCCGTGCTGGAGCGGGTGCGCGTGCCCGCCGCCGCGGGCGCTCCTGTGGCTGCTCTGCCTGTCGGCAACCCCGCCGTGAAGCCGAGCGTTCCGCCTGAGAACAGTAGCCGTTCCCCTTCCTCCGCTCGGACCCCGGGGGCCCTTGGGACTCATCCTGACCTGTGTCGAGACGTGTCTCGCCGCGGCGCCGTGGACCCTCCTCCTCCTCCTCCTTCTCCTCCTCCTCCTCATCCTCCTCCTCCTCATCCTCCTCCTCCTCTATGCGACGGGGATCCAGGGCACTTCGGCGCAACCCGCCAATGCCGCTGCAGCCCTTGCGCGACCCATCACTCCCAGTGCGCTTTTGGCGTCTCTCGGGGCCGAGCGGGGAAGCACCCGCTGGAACACTCTTCTTAAAAGGGATGGGCTGCGCTCGATGTTGAAACGCATGAGGCAATGCATTCGTTTCTCCATTCGGCCGCAACTCTCGAATCGGTCGGCGGGACCAGCCGCGATGCAAATGCCGGCCATCGGTTAAGCCCCCCTCACCCTTCATTTCGCTGGTCGTATCGGTCCAAGTCACCGCACGCCGCCTCTCATTTGGTAGTTGTGCACGCCAGAGTGCTGAATCCCGATTTCCCAGCATAAGTTTCGCAGGGGCCCCCATCAGCCAGCAGAAAGAGAATCCATATTTCTATATACATACATATATATAGGGGCCAACGGCCCAAAATGAAAAACCAGCATCATCATCCTCATCCGGATCATCATCCTCATCCTCTCTTTCGCCTCCTCCTCAACCTCCTGCGTCTCCTCCGTCCTTTCTTCCTCGTCCACCTCCTCCTCCTCCTCCTCCTCTTCCTCCTCCTCCTCCTCCTCTCCCTCCTTCTCTTCCAGCGCTTGTCAATTTCGGTACACCTTTCACCCATCGAGTCCCACAGGCAACTATATCTACAGCGCTGGTGGGCAAGCTCGATTTTTCCCGACGGATTTCAGCGCACCGTTCACACAGATCGCGCCCCAGTCATCCCCGCCCATTGTGGCACACCCCTCGCACGGATCGTGCTCCCTGGGGCACGGGGCGGAAGCTCGGCTTACGACCTCAATGGATAACTTCGCATAACGTTCCCCTCCCTCCTTTTTCTCGCCACATCCATCGAGGATCGTGCCCCACACGGAGCTCGACTTACGACCGTGGCAGGCAAATTCGCACAAGCATCCCCCCAATTCCTGCACACCTCTCACACGGATCGTGCCTCGCAGGCAGCTCCACTTGCAACACCAGTTGGGCGAGGTTGACGTGGTTGTCCCCGCGGATTTCAATGCACCCTCACACGGATCGTGCCCCTTGGGCAGACCCGCTCACGGCCCCAGTGGGAAAGTCCGCATAGCACTTCATCCCCGCCCATTGTGGCACACCCCTCACACGGATCGTGCTCCACAGGGCGGGAGCTCCGCTGACGGCCTCCATCGGTAAATTCGTACAGCGTACCCCCCGGTTCGGCACATCATTCGCATGGGTGATGACTGACAGGGAGCTCCACCTAGAACTCCAGCAGTCAAGTTCGCATAAGCGCCCCCCCCGCCCAGTTCGGCACGCCTCTCACTCGCATCGTGCCTCACAGGCAGCTCCACTGGCAGCACTTGTGGGCAAGGTTGCCATGGTTGCCCCCGCGGATTTTAGCCCTCGCCCGGATCGTGCACCGTATGGAGCTCCACTTACGGGGCCCACTGGCTGGGACAGTTCGCATAGCCTTGACATTGATCGTGCCCCACAGCGAGCTCCACATGCGACTTCAGCGGGCAAGATCGCATAGCGTTCCCCCCCATTCCAGCTCACCCCTCATACAGATCGTGCCTCGCAGGGGGTTCACCTATGAATCCAGTAGGCAAGTTCGCATAAGCGTCCCCCCCCGCCCATTTCGGCACGCCTCTCACTCGCATCGTGCCTCACAGGCAGCTCCACTGGCAGCACCTGTGGGCAACTTTCAAACGTTTCCCCTCGCGAATGCCGTTACAACGCTCAAACTGATCGTGCCCCCTGTGGAGCTCCACTTTCGGCCCCAGTGGACACAAGCTCGCATGCGAGCATCCGCGAACGGTAGATTCATGCGGCGGTGGCGCGCTGGCGATACAGGCGAAGGCGTTCAAGGTTGAACTTTGCGACGCAGAAGCACCAAGGGATATGGTAACGCCACTGGACCCGACGGGATTCAACTTTGAACGATCGGGGCCGGACCGATTCAAGGTTCAACGATCGACAAAGTGTCAGAAACCAACGTCGATGACATCGCCGCACGAGCTTGCCGTATCTCGACACACCCCTCACGCGGGTCGTGCCCCACAGGGAGGTCTGGCGGCTTCTTATATCCGCATTGCCGCGCCCTGCGCTGCACGCAGCTGCGCTGTGCTGGACCACTCGCCAGGCTTTGGACGGTCCCAGGGCTTTGCAATCGGTCTCACCCAAACATGCTAATAATTACTTGTGCGTCGTCCCCCAGGGGCGACGCGCGCGCGCCGAGAAATCTTATAGCATATGCTCCGTGGCGGGCGCTGCCTGGCCATACCGGCCAGGAAACAATACAATGCAAGATGGTTGTACTATATGTTCGGGTCGGGCGCACGCCTGCAAGGACGACACATAGGACTAGTGTGTCCATCTGCGTCCCACGCAGAGGTTCCAGAAGCCGAAGACGGCCGAAGACCGGCCGTCGTGATCTTGTGACTTTGCAAGGGCGTCTGGGCTCGGGGCCCCCCTCACGGAGAGGACGCGGATGTTTTCCGTGGAGGCTCCAGCCCTCTCTCGACCTTGCCATTGGGGGTACGCCGAGCTGATGTTTGTCGACCCTGGGGCCCAAAGGGCGGCTTCGAGCGGCCGACATCGGGGGCACATCTCAGACTCTCTTGTCCTCGCGTCTCTGGAGGTCCCAGGTGCCCGCCCCCCTCGCGAGCTGCCCCCTGGCCGCACACAGTTTTCCGCTCGACGTCTGCGGAGCGCAGAGTTGCTGACTATGGCTGGTGGCTTTCGCTGTGAGCAGACCACATCTCTCCAGAGGATTGATTTGCCAAGCACGGCCGCGAGGAGTGCTTTTGCATGCAAAGATGGTGTTCGCCCCCCTCGCGAGGACGGGGTGTATCACCTGTTCCACGTCATCGAGAGCATCGCGTGACCTGCCCTCGGCCGCACGCCCCCTCGGAGAGCACGCGCGGCCAAAAGCGTGCAGCGCGGCCTGCGATCGCTCCTCGCCGACGCGGCGCCGAGGATCGAGGCGGGTGGCGCAGCTCTGCGCTCGGCTCCGGCTGGGAGGGCGGAAGAAGCAGGGGCAAAGGTGTCCGGCGGGTGGTCATGGGGGATGACTTGAATTTGGGGCCACCACGGGGGTGTGAAGTTCGTCGCGCTGCGCGGTCTGGGTGAGTTCAGAGCGAGGCGCGAGTCCCTCGTCCTGTCCCGGGGGGGAGGGACGGCACGAAAGCGCGAGGATACTCGCGCTTCGTGGATTCGCGGAGCGCGGAGCGCGAAGACGGATGCTGTAGCAAATGGGGGCAAAGGGATGGCCCTAAAGGGGCCATGTGTAGGGCGGGGCGCCTTCGGAGCCCCTGCCGGCTCCAAGAAGGGCCCCCTCAAGAGCAAGGGCCCCACCTACGGCCCTTTTCTTCCCCCCCTTCGGTCCCCCCCCCCCTCCGAAAAAAGAACACCCGCCCGAGAGGTGCCGGGGGCCAGCCCAGAGGGCCAGCCGATGCCTTCTCTGGTCCTCTCTGCGGCCGGCCGCGGTCTGGGGGGCACGTGAGGCCGACCTCCCCTGTCTCGGGTGCTGCCAGGAGTGCCCCCTGGCCAAGGTTGCTCCCGGGATGCCAAGGAGACCCCCACGGCCTCCAGAGCACCACCCCTCACGAGACCCAGCGGGCCCCAGGGGCTCCAGACTCCAGCGAAAGCTGGGGGCACCCTGGGCCAGGAGCACCTTTCGCAGGTCTGCACGAACAAAATGGGTACGGAAAGAATGGGTACGATGCCCAACAGCAGTTCCAGTTCATCGTGAACAGGACTCGCTGCCCGCGCCGCCGCGGCCTGTGTCCATTTGAGACAGAAGGCCGCCTGCCCAACGGTGGCCGCTGTTGGTTTGGGACAACATTTGTTGTTGGGCATTGTACCCATTCTTTCCGTGCCCATTTCGGGCGTCCAGAGCAGGCCCCGAGCCTCCCCCGCCACCTCCGCTGACCTGGATCCGGGAGCCGCCGTGTGGCGGCCCCGGTGCACGACGAGGTGTGCAGGCCCAGGTCGGTACTGCTCTGGGCCCCCGAAGTGCATCCACGCGATCGTTCGGTCGCGCCGCCGACATGCGCCAGCCACGCGCAGAGGGGGGGGGGGGAGGAGGGGGGAGGGCTGCTCAGAAGCACCCCTGCAGAGGGGGGTGGGAGGAGGGGGGAGGGCTTCTTAGGAGCACCCCTGCTTCTTAGAGACCTGCACCCCTCGGCTTCTTAGAGGGTCCGCCGACCTGGCCCTCCCGTGGCTCCCGGCGAGCGTCGCCAAATGCGGACGGGAGCAGCTGTCGGGCGGGCCTATAGGGCGAGGATCAGTCCGTTCCACAGCGTTCCGGAGCGCTCTCAGAGCGTTCTGGAAGGCTCTGAGAAGGCCGTGGCTCCCGAGACACCCTCCAGAGCCGCCGGATCTCAGAGATCCTCGATTCATCCTCACCGGATGCTGTCTTCGTTTTGGCTCCGTCTTAACGTTGGGTCGGAGGATGGCGCCGCCTCGCCCATGCATCGACGGTGCGGCGCGATCTTCCGACGCCCTCTGATGGCAGTCGGGCCGCTGAGCAAGGAGCACTCGTGTTTCCAAAGTGGCTCGGTCGCTCCGTGGGTTTCCGTGCGCCCTGCTCCCTCTGTTGGCGGCGAGCCCCCCGGGGACGATCGAAATGGGTACGGAAAGTCGGGGTACGACGTCCAACAGCAGTTCCTGCTCATTCTGAACAGGGCTCGCTGTCCGCGCCGGCGCAGACGTTGTTCATTGGCGACAGAAGGCCGCCTGCCCAACAGCGGCCGCTGTCTGTTTTGGACAAAATTTGTTGGGCATTGTACCCATTTTTCCGTACCCATTCCGGGCGTCCAAATCGTTACCTATCTGTCGTTCCTTAGGTCAGCGGCCCGGCTGCGCTCTGGCCCCACGTCGGTGGCATCCACCCACATATGGGCAAGCGGGTGGCGCGAGGGGGGAGGGGGCAGAATAGGCTTGCTTAGCCCGGTCGTCGTACTAGTAGGCCTACTTCCTCCTACTAGTACGACCGCGGGGCGTACTAGTAGCCGTACGTAGCTGTACTCGTACGCTCGGCCGTGCACGCCGCAGTCGTACTAGTAGCCGTACGTAGCCGTACTCGTACGCTCGACCGTGCACGCCGCAGTCGTACTAGTAGCCGTACGTAGCCGCACTCGTACGCCCCGCCCTGCACACAGCCGTCGTACTAGTAGGCCTACGTAGCCGCACTAGTACGACCGTCCCTGCACTCCGCCGTCGTACTAGTAGGCCTACGCTGCCGCACTAATACGACCGTCCCTGCACTCCGCCGTCGTACTAGTAGGTCTACGTAGCCGTACTAGTACGCCCGCTCCTGTCGTACTAGTACGCGTACCTGGCCCTACTCGTACCGCTCGGCAGGGCACGTCGCAGTCGTACTAGCCGTACGTAGCCGTACTCGTACGCCCGACCCGGCACACCGCCGTCGTATTAGTAGGCGTACGTAGCTGTAGTAGTACGGCCGTTCTTGCACTCTGCTGCCGTACTAGTAGGCCTACGTCGCCGAAGTCGTACGCCCGCTCCAGCCGTAATCGTACCGGTACGTAGCCGTACTCGTACGCTCGGGCGTGCACGTCGCAGTCGTACTAGTCGTCGTACGTAGCCGTTGCTCGTACGCCCGAGCCGCGCACCGCCGCCGTATTCGTAGGCTCACGTAGCCGTACTCGTACGCCCGTCCGCGCACTTTGCTGTCGTATTAGTGCGCCTACGTAGCCGAACCCGTACGCCCGCTCCACTCGTACTAGCACGCGTACGTCGGCCATTTGGAGGATTTTCGGCATATTCGAGGCCTCCGCACCCGCCTCACAATGGCGGAATTTCTTTGACCGGCCCCCGGTCTGGTCCTCGGTTCCCGGTCCCTTTGTGGCCTCTTCAATCGTGGACATGGGGAAGGAATGAGCCGGGAGCTTCGTGCGTGCGTAACTCGAAAGACTTGCGAGGAAGTCTGACGCGGGAGTCCCTCTGCATAACCCCTCCCCTCCCTATACGGCCCGGGAGTCCTGTCTGTGAACGACTTGGACCTAGCCGCGTCTGAGCTGGTCTTCAGCACATTTGTTACCGCCACGGGCCTGCGTGCCCGACAGGGTGACTGAGGAGCTGACGACGACGACGACGACGACGACGAGACAGCGGCCGGGCGCAGGGGTAACCTCTTGTGTCCGGGCCGGGGGTGGTAACCCATCCTCGGCCGAATCGGAGGCAGGGGTAACCCCTTGCCTCCGGGCCGCCGGTGGTAACCCATCGGCGGCCGAATCGGGCGCAGGGGTAATCCTTTGCGTCCGGGCTGGGGGTGGTAACCCATCCTCGGCCGAATCGGGGGCGCGGCAGGGGTAACCCCTTGTCTCCGGGCCGCCGGTGGTAACCCATCGTCAGCCGAATCGGGCGCAGGGGGGAGCCCTTGCATCCGGGCCAGGGGTGGTAACCCATCCTCGGCCGAATCGGAGGCAGGGGTCACCCCTTGCCTCCGGGCCGCCAGTGGTAACCCATCGGCGGCCGAATCGGGCGCAGGGGTAATCCTTTGCGTCCGGGCTGGGGGTGGTAACCCATCCTCGGCCGAATCGGGGGCAGGGGTAACCCGCTACCCAGCAGTCAGCGGCTGAGTCGGTGACACCTCATGTTGCGTGGGCGTGGCGCCATCCGGCGGGCGCGGCGCCCTTCCAGTCCGGCGCGGAGGGCATGGATCCAGATACTGTCTATATAGGAGTAGAGTCGGCATACGAGGTGGGCGCGCCGTTAATCGTGCCAGACGAGGTGGGTGCCGACCGCGATGGGCAGCGTGCCGCCAACGAGAGCTGGTTCACAGAGTCACCGCTGAGGTTCTCGTTGCCTTTCGCGGGCGCGGGAGGGTTCGGCACCGGGTGTCATGGCGCGCGCGCGGGCGCGGCGCCCTTCCAGTCCGGCGCGGAGGGCATGAATCCGGATACTGTCTATCCAGGAGTAGAGTCGGCATGCGAGGTGGGCGCGCCGTTAATCGTGCCAGACGAGGTGGGTGCCGACCGCGATGTGGCTCCGACCGTTGTAGACTCCGACTCTGAGTCGGGTGCGCTATCGGTCGTGTGAGATGCAGCGAGCATGGGCCCATGGGGGTTGCGGTTTCGGGTTTGATATTCACAGTGAAGAGCGGGAAAAGGTCTCATGGGTGGGGTTCACGCGTGTCAGGTGCCTGGTTGTTTGAGGGTGCTCCTGTTTCATTGTATGAGATTGTGGTGGTACTGTGTTTACGCTGTGCCAGGGTGGAGAGTGGAAGGCTTCAGGGAATGACTTTGCAATCGTTCTCCGTGAGAAAATGTTTCTCTGCGGTTTTGATGGAAGCGCTCTCGAGAGTCGCTCTGGTGAGGTAGCCGGTGTGAGCACCGTTGTGTACCGGATAATGAGAGTACGTTCGGGATCCTAAACTCGGCCGCGTTGGATACTTCTGGAAAGATACGTTTGGTCGGCGGAGGGGGCGGCGAGACTGAACTTTATCATCGCCGAGCGATGTGCGAATCGTAGGTGTAATCTTCTTATCACGATGAGCCTCAATTGTGGTTATTGGGGTTTCCGCGGGGTCGGCTTGGGGCTGCGTGACGGAAACGACGACGACGGCGACGGCGGCAGCGCCGGCGACGAGGAAGTGGGAAGGAGGGAGGAGGGGGAAGGGGGGGGTCGGGGGGAGGGAGAGAGGGAAAAGCGAGGAATACAGAGAGAAAGAGAGAGAGAAAGAGAGAGAGAGAGAGAGAGAAAGAGATAGAGAGGGGGGAGGGGGCAGAGGGAAGGGGTTGGAGGGTTTAGGCCGGAGCATTCTAGTAGAGCTACTTGAGCCTACTACTGGCACGGTCGGCGGAGGGGGCCTCCGCTCGAGACATTCTCGGAACTCTGCCCCGGCGGAGCTACTAGTAAGGCTACTTTGGTGTACTCGTACGGCCCATGGGGGCTGGCGGGGGCGTACTAGTAGGGCTACTTTGGCCTACTAGTACGACCGGCGGAAGGCGTTCCCGCTCGAGACATTCTCGGAAGTCCGCTCCGCCGGGGCTGCTAGTAGGGACGAAGTGGCCCTACTAGTACGGATCTGGGGGGATGGCTGGGGCGTAGTAGTAGGGCTACTTTGGCCTATTAGCACGACCTGCGGAGAGCGCCCCTGCTTGATACATCCTCGAAAGTCCGCCCAAGCGGGGGCTACTAGTCGGGTTCTTTGGGCCTAATATATTAGTACGGGCCTGAAGGGATGGCGAGTGCGTACTAATAGGGCTACTGTGGCCTACTAGTACGACCGGCGGAGGGGGCCTCCGCTCGGGACATCCTCGAAAGTTCGCCCTGGCGGGGCTACTAGTAGGGCCTCTTTGGCCTACTAGTACGGCCCCCGGGAGCTTGACGGGGGCGTACTCGTAGGGCTACTTTGGCCTACTAGTACGACCGGCGGAGGGCGCTCCCGCTCGAGACATTCTGGAAAGTCCGCCCCGCCGGGGCTACTAGTAGGGCCGAGGTTGCCCTACTAGTACGGACCCGGGAGGATGGCCGGGGCGTGCTAGTAGGGCTACTTTTGCCAATCGTACGACCGGCGGAGGGCGCCCCCGCTCGAGACATCCTCGAAAGTCCGCCCCGGCAGGGCTACTAGTAGAGCTACTTTCGCCTACTGGTACGGGCCCCGGGGGGCTGGCGGGGGCGTGCTAGTAGGGCTACTTTGGCCTACTAGTACGACCGGCGGAGAGGGCCCCCGCTCGAGACATCCTCGAAAGTCCGCCCTGGCGAGGCTACCAGTAGGGCTACTTTGGCTTACCAGTACGGTCCAGAGGGGTCTGGCGGGGGCGTGCTAGTAGGGCTACTTTGGCCTACTAGTACGACCGGCGGAGGGGGCCCTCGCTCGAGACATCCTCGAAAGTCCGCCCCACCGGGGCGTACTAGTAGGGCTACTTTTGCTTACTAGTACAACCAGCGGAGGGGGCCCTCGCTCGAGACATCCTCGAAAGTCCGCCCGGGCGGTGCTACTAGTAGGGCCGAAGTAGCCCTACTAGTACGGACCCGGGGGGATGGCCGGCGGGGCTACTAGTAGAGCTACTTTGGCCTACCAGTACGGTCCTGAGGGGTTGGCGGAGGCGTACTAGTAGGGCTACTTTGGCCTACTATTACGAATTGCGGAGAGAGCCCCCCCTGAGACATACTCACAAGTTCGCTTTGGAGGGGCTACTAGTAGGGCTACTTTGGGCTACTAGTACGGTCCCTGGGAGAGTGGCGGGGGCGTACTCGTAGGGTACTTTGGCTTACTAGTACGACCGGCGGAGGGGGCCTCCGCTCGAGACATCCTCGAAACTCCGCCCCGCCGGGGCTACTAGTAGGGCTACTTTGGGCTCCTAGTACGACCGGCGGAGTGAGCCTCTGCTCGAGACGTCCCCGAAAGTCCGCCCCGGCAGAGCTACTAGTAGGGCTACTTTGCCGTACTAGTACGGCCCTGGGGGGGTGGGGGGGGGTACTGGTAGGGCTACTCTGGCCTACTAGTAGGACCCGCCGGGTCGTACTAGTAGGCGTACTTCGGCCCTAGGAGTACGCCTCCTTCGCCCCGCGAGCGTACTAGTGGGCGTACTTCGGCGTACTAGTACGACCCAGCGGGGCGAACTAGTAGGCGTACTTCGGACCAACGAGTACGCCTCCCGAGCGCCGCGGGTCGTACTAATAGGCGTACTCTGGCCTACTAGTAGGACCCGCAGGGTCGTACTAGTAGGCGTACTTCGGCCCTAGGAGTACGCCTCCTTCGCCCCGCGGGTCGTACGAGTGGGCGTACTTCGGCGTACTAGTACGACCCAGCGGGGCGAACTAGTAGGCGTACTTCGGCCCTACGAGTACGCCTCCCGGGCGCCGCGGGTCGTACTAGTAGGCGTACTTCGGCGTACTAGTAGGACCCGACGGGTCGTACTAGTAGGCGTACTTCGGCCCTAGGAGTACGCCTCTTTCGCCCCGCGGGTCGTACGAGTGGGCGTATTTCGGCGTACTAGTACGACCCAGCGGGGCGAACTAGTAGGCGTACTTCTGCTCTACGAGTACGCCTCGTGGGTGCCGCGGGTCGTACTAGTAGGCGTACTTCGGCGTACTAGTAGGACCCGCCGGGTCGTACTAGTAGGCGTACTTCGGCCCTACGAGTACGCCTCCCAGGCGCCGCGGGTCGTACTAGTAGGCGTACTTCGGCGTACTAGTACGACCCGCCGGGTCGTACTAGTAGGCGTACTTCTGCTCTACGAGTACGCCTCCCGGGCGCCGCGGGTCGTACTAGTAGGCGTACTTCGGCGTACTAGTACGACCCGCCGGGTCGTACTAGTAGGCGTACTCTGGCGTACTAGTACGGCCCGCCGGGAAAACCAAGCACTCTCTCGGAGGGGGACTTCATCCCCGCCCACGACGTGGAGCTTCGGCACATCTTCCTGTGGACATCTCGGGGCCTTTGGCTCGAGTCGAACACGTCCCTCTACAGGAGGAATGCTCAAGACCAGTAACAGATCATATGGTGACGATGTTTCGTTTTTTGTTGCCCTGGCAATTTTGGATGATGTGTGTTATTTTTATGTTGCTTCCAAAGTCCGCCTGTACAGGGGCGTGCCCGACCTAATCCGTGGTGTCGCCGTCTTTTTCTCCCACGCCGTTCGCTGTGAATCAGCATGTGAATCGGTCGCACGGGCATAATTGCTTGCCAGTATCAGCGTTTCGGGTGCTTCTATGCTAGCGCTGGAAACCAGGGTGGACACGAGCGGAGAGGCCGTCGGGAAGTGCACCCGAAAGATTCCTTTGCGGACACTCTGGGAGCTATCTGGGCGCGCCCGCCCCAAGCGTGCCGTTGGGGCTCGTGTTAAGTCGGGCGTGCCCCTCTGCAGGAGGAACGTGCAAACATAGTCACAACATCATGTGGGGACGATTTTTTTTTTTTTTTTTTTTTTTTTTTGCATTTTTCTTGTCTTGCTGTTTTGGGGCACTTGGGGGATATTCTGTTATGTTTCCTCCAACCTCCGCCTGTATCAGGAGCGACAAAAGGACGTACACGTACATGAATCCACGCTTGTTTCGAGAGTACGCATAGCGCAAATGTTCGTATAACGCGGCAGGTCTCGCGGATCGAGGGGCCGTGTTCACGTACATAGCTGGGCGCGTACGTCCTTTGTGGGCTCCCTACTGTAGGGGGACATGCCCGACCCGAGGCCTGTGCTCCCGCGACCCTCGCCCTGCTCCTCGCGGGGCGCCGGCCGGCCGAGAGCTCCACAGGCTCTCGGGGGGCGCGCCGCAGGGCGGCCCCCTTCGCGGGGAGCGCGGCGCGGGCTCGGCCAGGGCCCGGGCCCCGCAGGGACCAGCAGCCCTCGTGGTTATCGTCGGGGGCGGAAAAGAGGGGGGTGATGACTAGGGGGGGGTGGATATCATGGCGTGGGCCATGATATTTCCCCAGATTTCATGGCGCCTCTTCTTCTTTCATTACGTCCCTGGCCCCCCCGCTGGGCCGCGCACATGCCGCCGGTCATGATTTGCACCCCCCCCTCTTGGACACCCCCCTCTTGGCCGCTCCCGATATCGCGTCCGCCCTCCCCGAGCGCCGCCAGCGCCGGAGAGCCGCATGCCCACGCGCGCAGCGATCTGGGCCCAAGGTCGGCCCTTCCTCCCAGGAGAGCGCGGCCCCGCGAATCGCTGGGCGTCGCCATGGCGTCCTTCAGCAGGGCCCGGGTGTTTCCGAGGATACCCTCGCCGGGCTCGAAGGCGTCGAAGAGCCCGCGGCAGCGAGGGGCGTTCGGCGCGGTTGCCGTGGCGATGATCCTGGCCGCGCTCGCCGCCCTGCTGTCTCGGAAGGCGGCGTTACGTGGAACCTGTGGTGGAGCCTCCTCTGCCCCAGCATTTGGCGCACTCCTCGGCGTCCAGACGGCCCCGGATATCATCAGGTAGCCTCAGGTGGCCTCGGATGTCTTTGAATGTGGCGCGGGTAGCTCGGCCAGGAGGGCAGAGAAGGCCCCCCACATGTTCGGCGTGAGGCAGCTGACCATGATCACAGCACCCCCGGTACGGACTCTTCTGCAAGAATTCTAATAATGACCAGCGCGACGGGAGGTGGGCATGGAGCTGCCGCGGCGGCGATCAAACACGGTCTCGAAGCCCTCGACCCAAGCATGGGCCACTTTGACGTGAGGGTGCAGGACATGTTTGCTGACCACTGCCCCTGGCCTGTCAGCGAGTTCCCTGGCGCGTACAAGTTCCTCATGAAAAACCCATGGATGTGGCGTGCTATCTATTACGGCAGCCAGCACGGTACTGGGCAGCTGATGAGAGCGATCACTTTCTTTGTGCAGCCTCGTGCCCGTCAAGAGATCTTGGACCGCGAGCCCGATGTCATCGTGTCGGTCCATCCCATGATGCAGCACATACCGATCAAGATGCTCAGCCACGCGGGCCGCCCGCCCTGCCAGCCAGAGGACGTGGACGACGGCGTCGAAGCGAACCCGCAGCCCTGCACGCCGTTCGTGACGGTGGTGACCGACACCGAGACAGGATCGTGTTTTGTTTATTGCTTGGGGCATCATGGGCATTATAGCCCCCGACACCCCCCCTATAGCGTAACGCCCCTCCCCCCCCCCAGTGCGCTCTGGGCACTGCCGCCGTGCGCATCGGGCACACGGCGGGGGGGAGGTGTTACATTATACCCCCCCGCCGGCTCCCTCCCCCCCCTTTTACAATGCCCATTATCGCCGAAAACAAAGAAACGCGCTCCAGGCTCGAATCTGTGGTTCCCCTTGTGATGTTCCAACCTACTTCAGCCTTGCTCACCACAAAGAGTTTCGAGCACTCAGAAAGCACGGAAACCGGAGGGTTCTCGCGTGTCGGGCCCTGGGAGGCGATACCCGCCCGACATTGGTTCGACACTTCTCTGGGTGCTCGAAATTACTTTTGGGGACGTGGTCCTTGAGCACGATGGAAACAACACGAGGTTCCACCCCGGCGTCACGCGCACCATCGTGCCCGACGGGAAGCTCGCTCAGCGCGCCGTGCAGCACGGGCTGCGGGGCGCGCAGGTCCAGCAGGTGCACGCCCTGCTGGTCTCCGCGCAGTTCCGCGTGGCGGCCCGCCTGGGCCGCCGCAGGGTGCGCGAGGACGGCGTCCCAGACACGATCGCGTCGTGGAAAGATCCGGGCGGCGAGGTTTTCAGTATTTTCGGCCCTGGGGGGCCCTCGCTGGGCCTCGGGACCGTCACAAAACGACTCAGGACGAAAAACCGGCCCCGGGGAAGGGGATCGGGACTCCCGGGACGCCGTCCAGAAAAAAAAGGGCGAACCCTACCCCCACCCCCCACGAAGCGAACCCCACCCTCCCTCTCAGAAATCGTAAGAGGTAGGGGTAGGGTTCGCACGTGGCCCCCTAGAGGAGCTCGGCCTGTGCCTGGACTGCCCCGTGCTGCTCCTCATGGGCGGCGGCGACGGCGCCGGCAACATGGACCGACAGTCAAGACGCACTGACAGAAGGGCCACTCTGAGGTCAGGAGGGCCTGGGTTTTCGGGCGGGCCTGGAATCTGCAGGGCCGTTGTTCACCGTTTCCGAAAAAGTGTCTCTTGAAAATGGAAGCGGCAAAGAAAAGGCGACCAAAAACGGCAAAAAAGCGGCTCCAGGATTGGAACCGGAGCCAGAACCGGTGAAACAGCGACTGAACGGGTAAAAAAGCGGCATCGGAACCGGCAAACCATCGGCAAAACCGAACCGGTAGAAAAACGGCCCTGTCGTTTCCAGGGCCCACCAAGTTCGGACAGGGGAACCTACACTTTGTTAATGTTCAGTTATTCGAAAGTTATTTGCTTCTTTGGGGGGTCAAGATCCGTTCCTTTCTAATTGTTCTATCCTGGGCCTCTTCCTGGCCACTAGGGGGCCGGGAACAATTAGAAACGAGCACAGTTAGAAGTGAGCACGATTAGAAACGAGCGATGTGTGCTCGGGGCCGAGGCTCGTCAGTGCCCCCCCGTTCCTTCTCTGGCGCTGCTACGTCTCAGCGCGCCGACTGTACGGGGAGAAGAAGCATACCGATACCCATGCACTCTTGCCCTCGGCCTTGCCTGGTCGGGCCTCCTCGGCGACCCTCGCCGCCCCGCCTGCGCGCCCCCCTCGGGGGGGGGGGTCCAGAAGTGGCGGCTTCTGCTCTCCCCCCAGGAGGAGGAGGAGGAGGAGGAGGAGGAGGAGGAGGAGGAGGAGGAGGAGGACGAGGAGGACGAGGAGGACGAGGAGGAGGACGAGGAGGAGCACGAGGAGGAGGACGAGGAGGAGGAGGAGACCCCAGGACCAGTACGCGTGGGCGGTCCACCGGGAGCTGGGCAGGTCCACGGACGTGCAGCTCGTGGTGGTGTGCGGCCGGAACGCGGGGCTCCGCTCGCGCCTGGGCCGGCGGCTGGCAGCCAGCCACGTGGCCGGTCGCCGGCCGGCTCGCGTGCTGGGCTTCCGCCGGGACATGGCGCTGTGGATGCGGGCCGCGGACCTCGAGGCTTAGAAGTCGGCCCCGTCCCTCTCGGGCCGAACGAGAGGGGGGGGGGATAGGGGAAGGGGGGGATAGGGGCAGGGGGGGATAGGGGGATAGGGGATAGGTAGGGGGAATAGGGGGATAGGGGGAATAGGGGGATGGGGGATAGGGGGATAGGGGGATAGGGGATAGGGGGGATGGGGGGATAGGGGGGAGGGAGGGGGAGGGGGGAAGGGAGGGGAAGGGGGGGATAGGGGAAGGGGGGGGGTACGAGATCTGCTGCGTGCAGCTGGTTTCGGCCCCGCCGTCGGGCCCATTCCTCGATACATGGCCGCCTCCGGCGCCGGGAGGCGCCGGGAAAATCAGCCACGTCGGCTGATTCTCAAAGCCCCCCTTTGCCATCCTCCCCTTTCGCCCGGCCCTGTTACAGGAGGGGTATTCAAAAATAGTCTGGGGACGATTTGTGCATATTTTTGAACATTTTGGTTGTATTTTTGAACATTTCAAACGTTTCACCCAAAATCCCCCTGTAGGGGGACATGCCCGACCTAACTGTGGGCCTCCTAGATGGCGTCGGAGCAGGTAGGGGTCGGAGGATGGCGCCGCATCGCCGATGCATCGCCGATGTGGCTCGATAAGGAGCCCGATTTGCTTCACGTCGCCGATGCATCGCCAGTGCATCGCCGATACATCGCCGATGCATCGCCGATGTATCGGCGATGTAGCGAGGTCCTCCGACCCCATCTACCCCGACCCCATCTGGGAGGCCTCTAGGACCTGCTCCTGACGAAGGCCGGGCCCTCCACCATCGCGGAGGCCCTCACGGTCGGGCTGCCCGTGCTGCTGTACGGCTACTTGCCTGGGCAAGAGCGTGGGAACGTTGACCTCGTCGTGCGCAACCGCGTCGGCGCCTACACGCCTGGCGCCCAAAATTCGGCATCGGCGGCGAAGGCGCTGCTGTTCGAGCGCAACGGCACGGCGCTGCGCGAGATGCGGCAGAGGGTCAGGAGCCTGTCTTACGGAGCGCCCGCCACCGACCTGGTCGTCGGAGAGGTCGCCCGCCTCGCGACGTTCTCGAAGCGGCTCCGGGAAGTCCGCTCCTGAGGTGGACGTGGGAAATACTCAGAGGAGGAAAGGGTGCTGATACTGCTACCCTTCCCCCGTTTCCCTCTTTTTCGGCCTCCTGGGAGGCCCTCGTCGCCATCGCTGGATTCGCCTGGTCAGAAAGCACCCCAGGAGAGGTCCGGGGAGTAGCCGTATCGGTACCTTCATGTACCTTTGATTTCCCCATGAGGTGGAAGTGGACATTACGGATTGCTCAGTCGTATGGGCTTTACCTGGCTTTCGAGCCTGCGCGTGTGCGCTTTTGATTTCCGCTGGCCGCGCTCCTGTAGTTTAGATTATCGGCCCCCGCTGCTGTTGAAGTACGTGCAGAGGGCATTTAAGCCGATTTGGGATCGAGTGTGCAGCCGCTGTCGTGGCAACCAGGAATTGGCCGTGTGAGGTTGCAGAGCAGTGCGTGTGTGTGTGTGTTTATGTGTGCGTTGCGTTGCAATGTGAGGGCCTGTGCACATCAGCATCAGTTGCCAGCGATAGCGGCTAGCCACGAGTCTTGCATGACAGTCCAGCGATTCTCGCCTAAGCGGCGAGGAATGTTCTTTCGGAGGCCTGTCCTGCGTGGTGGGGCGATGTTTTTGGCGGCGGCGCGCAGAAGAGAATGGCGCCGTGGGGGCGTCCTTCTTCTTAGAAGCCCTCCAGCCTCCTGAACAGCCCTCTTGGAGACCTCTGACCCCTTTGCAGCAGCCCCCCTGCCTTCTTAGAAAACCGCCCCCCCTCGCCCCAACCTTTCTGTGCGCGCCGCCAAATCGGGACGATCGGAATGGGTACGGAAAGAATGGGCACGATGCCCAACACAGCAGTTCTTGCTCATTTTGAACAGGACTCGCTGCACGCGCCGCCGCGGACGTTGCTCTTTGAAGACAAAGCCGCCTGCCCAGCAACGGCCGCTGTCAGTTCTGGACAACATTGGTTGTTGGGCATTGTGCCCATGCGTTCCGTACCCATTCCGGGCGTCCACAGCCAAGAGACTTTCGGGGATCTTCTGACCCGGGTCAATCCAGACCCGGGTCAGTCAAGCTTGCAGGCTCCTGCAAGCTCCTGCAATATCCTGCACCCAAGCCCGGGTCCATGCGAAGGATCCTGCACGATCCTGCACCCAAGCCCGGGTCAAGGCGGCCCTGGCCCTGCAGGATCCTGCAAGATCGGGCGCTCTGGCTGACCCGGGTTTGCATTGACCCCCGTCTCAAGGCTCGCAGGCGATTTCTCTCCCCCAATCCCCGACTTCCGCCAGAAAAGTTTGGTCGCTCAGAAAAGGGGAGGAATCTTGGGATACATCCCGAGGGGGCTATTCGGACGCACCCCTGTCGAGGATGGACGCCCCCCCCTCGTATATCCCAGGGTTGGGCCCCAATTTGTTGATCCTCTCGAAAACCTCACGGAGCCTGGGATAGGGGTCGACGCATCCCTTGTTAAAGGCTCCCGAGACCCAGTGCACCTCTGTTGCCGAGCGGCAAGCGTCGCCGCGTCCAGTGCTGCCGTCTGGCAGGCGGCGGCCCCCCCAGAGCGGGTGGGGGGCCGCCTCTCGCGGGCAGACCGGGGCGAGCGGGCAATCTCTCGCGAACGGCTGGAGGCCCTGCGTCCGATCTGTCGCCGTTGCCTCGCGGGCCTGTTAGGCTGCTTGGCTTGAACCCAGTCGACCAAACAAACAAACGGCACCAGCCCAACCACGGTCCTCCATGCTGCGCTACGGCTCATTGGGGGCCGCAGCGCATACCACGCAAAAAAATATATATGCCAGATTTGCCGGTATACGCCAAGCCCCGCGGGGCCGTAGGTGGGGTGATGCCGTTTGTCTTCTGGTCCACCCAGCCCCTGCCCCCTCCCCCATCTCGTCTTCTCGTGCCGATTCGCCCTTTGCCTCCCGTGCTTCGTTCCAGTCCTTGCTCTGCGTCGGTGCGCGTGCCTTGCGCAGTTTCGCTCGACAGTTGGCTCAGGGCTCACAGGGCCCGTTTCTCCAGCACCAGCTGCTGCTGAGGATACAGATCGGCAGCGTCGAGCGCGCTTACTGTCCTTCTCCGTCCTCCGTCCTCCGACGATTGGGCCCTGCGCGCAGTTTCTGCGGTCGGCAATGCACTCGCACGTGACGTCGCACACGCACAAGCTCCTGCTTCCCACCGTCACGCGCAGACGGAAGCAAATGGTTGGCGTTTCGCGTATCCCCACCAGCCTAGCTTTGCCCGGCTTTCGACCTGCTTCGCGAGCCCGCGTACCAAAAAAGTATCCCCACCAGCCCATCCAGAAACGATGCCCAGCGGAGTTGAGGTGATCAGGTAAGTCAGGGAGCAGCAAAAAATCAAAGGGCGGGGGAAGCCGTCGATATCCCGAGAGGGGGGAGAGTGTGTAGGAGAAGGAGGAGGAGAAGGAGGAGGAGGAGGAGGAGGGCGAAGAGGAGGAAGGAGAAAGAGACAGTGGACAAGGATGATGATGATGATGATGATGATGATGATGATGATGATGATGATGATGATGATGCTGATGCTGATGATGATGATGATGATGATGATGATGATGATGATGATGATGATGATGATGATGATGATGATGATGATGAGGATGAGGAGGAGGAGGAGGAGGAGGAGGAGGAGGCGGAGGAGGAGGAGAAGGGGCATCTTGGCGAGCCCAGGGCCGACTTTGAGCGTCTTGGGTGCCTCGGGCATCTTCTTGAGGCCTCTTGGGGGGTTACTCGGGAGCTTTTGAGAGGCTTCCTGTACGCCTCTTAGGGCCGTCTGGGCGCCTCTTGGGGCCCTTCTGGGCCGCTCTTGGGAGCTTCAGGGGCGCTTTTGGGGTCATCTTGGAGGACATCGATTAAAACAGAGGGGAGCTCCAATTAGCCTCCCCCTTCGGGAGCACCGAAAATCGCCTTCTGGACCCCTCTTGAAGCGCTCTTGGGGCCGTATTGGGGCTCTCTTGGGCCTCTCCTGGGGCTCTCTTGGGCCATCTTGGAGCCATCTTGAGGCCTCGGGTAGCCATCGGAAGCGAAACGGCGAGAAAGCAAAATTCATGATTTTCCTGAGGTTGTGGATTGGAGGCCTCCGTGGAGGTCTCGGAGGCCACCTGGAGCCGTCTTGGAGTGTCCTTGGGGCTTCTTGGAGCATCTTCGGATCCATCTTGAGGCATCCTAGGCTATCTTGAGCCATCTTGGAGGTCATCTTGGACGCCAACTACCCGCGACCGCCCCCGTCCAGGTCCAGGGGGAGGCCCTCCCCGAAGGGGAAGAAAGGGGTTGGAACAGCAGCCGCCCCAGACCACTTACGGCCAGAGGGCTGGTGGAACTCCCCCCTCCAGCAGCCACGCGTGGGGGAGGAGGAGGAGGAGGAGGAGGAGGAGGAGGAGGAGGAGGAGGAGGAGGAGGAATAAGAAAAATAAGAAGAATAATCAGAAGAAGCAGAAGAAGAAGCAGAATAATAAGAAACATAATAATGAGAAGAATAAGAGAAAGAGGAGGAGAGGAGGAGGAGGAGGAGGAGGAGGTGGAGGAGGAGGGGGAGGAGGAGGAGGAGGAGGAGGAGGAGCACGATAACGAAGAAGCAGGCGACGAGATGGTGGGAGCGCTGGGGGGGCGCTGCCTGCGCGCGCGCCGCGGAGCCCTGCCTGAAGTCGGCGAGCCCAAACTCCCGACAACGTGATTTCCCCTGTCCCGTGACAGTCAGGAGGGAAAAAACACACAGACACAATTATTCGTCGACTCCCAGAAAATATGCGAAAATATGGGGAGTGGGGGGGAAGACAGAAACCCAGAAAATATTGGAAACTATGGGGAATCTGTTGATATGTATGTATTTATTTGTGTGCTTGTGGGCCCCTTCAGACAGCGCCGTCGCAATTCGCCGTGCTCTTGTAGCTTCCAGCGCTCTTCCCCCCCTCGGGCCTCCGAAGGCCTGTTTCCGAGCCCCGGACAGCCCACATAACGGTCTGGGACGAGACACCGGCCCCTGCACGGGGCATGGGCCAAGAGGCCCTGGGGGGGGAGGGGGGAGGGGGGAGGGGGGGAGGGGGAGGAGGCGGAGGAGGAGGAGGAGGAGGAGGAGGAGGAGGAGGAGGAGGAGGAGGAGGGGAGAATCTCATCCCCGCAATGAGGATCCTGCTCGGCACAGGCAGGGGCAGGCGTGCCTCGAAGCAAAGCCACGGCCTAGGCCGAGCGATCCCCGGCGCGCACCAGGCCCAGTCCACTGGGCGTTGCGCGACGACCGCGACGGGCGCCCTTCCTCGGCCCCGGCCTCCGCAGGGGCCGCCGCCGCTGCTGGCCCCCTCCCCGCCGCGGAGAGCACCAGGTAGAAACGAACCACGATGCGCAGCACCGGCCCAAGTCGAGGCCACCAGCCACTCGGCAGGACTTGGACGACCACGTGCGCTTATAAGCACGCCTCTTGGGAGCGCCCGGGCCCACACACAGACGGCGCGCCTCGCCGGGGAGGCCTGGCTGGGAGTTCCAGGAGAGGGCGCTGTTTCTGTAGGACTCTTGCCCAGGAGGAGGAGAAGGAGGAGGAGGAAGAGGAGGAGGGGAGGAGGGTGGAGGAGGAGGAGGGAGGAGGAGGAGGAGGAGGAGGAGGAGGAGGAGGAGGAGCTAGGTGGAGGAGGAGCCCTGTGAAAAATAAGCAGGGCGACTGCACGGATCCCAGACGGGGTCCGGCTCTGTGCAGGCGATGTTTGGGGGTCGGGGCGCTGCGTGGACCCTAGACTGGGCTGCTTTTGTGATTGCGCTGTTTGGGGGTCGGGTGCCGTCGTCGTCGTCGTCGTCGTCGTCGTCGTCGTCGTCGTCGTCGTCGTCGTCGTCGTCGTCGTCGTCGTCGTCGTCTTCCGCCTTTCTCCCTTCCCTCGCCTGGTTGCTCGTCCCTTCCCCTTTCCTTCCCTGCCCCTCCCTCCCTCCCCCTCCCTTTCCGCGCGGGGGCGGGTGGCGCTGGGTGGAGGAGCAGGCAGGGGCGCGACGCGCGACCTTGACGTGGCCGCCCAGAAGGCCGTGGCGACCGACAGCACGGTCTGCCGGC